TCCTCTCAGCGGCCCTCAGGCCAGGTAGCCCCGGCAGCCGGTCAAATCGCCGAGCGGGCGGGGGGCCCAAGGCCGGCGCCGCGCGCGGCCCCGGGTCGCGCACGGCGGGCCGCCATGCACCACGTCGATCAAGCCCTCGCGGGCCAGGCCCACGATCACGGAGACGGCGCGCGGGCCGGCGAAGTCTCAGCGGGCGTCTAAGGCCAGGCCGACGCCGAAGAAGAATAGGGGGACCCCATGCTCGGCGCAGGAGGCCCCCACGCGCCGCTGCACGTCGCCTTGGCGGCGAGGCCCCGCAAAGACGCGGAGCGCCGCCGAGGCGCGCTGCAGCGAGCGCCTGAATCGCTCGATCGTATCCTCGACCTCCTTCACCGAGAGGCCCGACTCGAACATGTCTGCGCCCCTGCGGTTCTTCTGCAAGTCGACCAACTCCTGGCCGCGACCGCCGCCCCCGCGCTGAGCACGAGGCCCTGCTCTGGGAGCCGCAGCGCCGACGCGGCCAGGCGCCCGTTGCACTCCAGGGCCCCCCCGAGGCTCTCGACGTCGATCTCCATCAGGCTGCGCAACGAGCGCGGGGCTCCCCATCGGGAGCCGCTGGTAGCACGGGGGGGCTATCTCGCAGACTGGGGCGTCCATCGCTTCAAAAGGCAGCTGCTGTCGGACCATTTCTACTGATGGCCCGGCGCGGCCGCGGCCACCACCAGGCAGGTGTAAGACTTGAAGAGAAAGCGTTCGACTGGTCGCATCTGGCCAGGTCCAGGGCGCCCTCGAGAACGCGAACATGGGACAAGGCCCCGCCGCCTCCAAAACCATGGCCCCCCCGCGCCTCGACGTCGCACCACGCATGGTTCGCGGGAACCGCTTTGATCAGCTTCCTGGGCTTCTCGGGATCCTGCTTCGGAACTGCGCCCACGCCGTTGATGGCTCGAATGTCCTGGCGGCGCACTTAGGTCCACAGGCGTGGCGGGGGGGTCCGGGCGCTGCTGGCAACTCGCCTGCTCCTCCTGCGAGCCGCCGAGGAACCCGTAGTGCTCCTTTAGCTCTCGCAGCAGCTGAGCGCTCTTGCCGCTCCAGTCCACCGCGTTGCTCTTCTCGGCGTAGAACTCGGCCTCGAGCTCTGGCAATGCTGCCAGCATGTCCACGGTCTTCTGTGGTCACCCCGTCGCTCCTGTCTGCGATGAAGTTCGCGCGGGCATGCCGCTTCCGCGAGCCCGAGTGGGTGGTCTCGCCGAGTTTGAGCAGCTCGCTGATCGCTTGCACGCCCGCCACCGATTCCGGCCGGCGAGCATCGACAAACTCCTGGGCCATCCGAATAGCACGAAGTTGAGTTCGCCCTGCGGCCCCGTCTGTTCGGCACAAGTCGCACCGCTCGACGGGGCCGCTAGCCTGCTGCTTCACGGATCCAGCGCAGACGCGGTTCATAACCTCTAGGATCTCGTTGGCATGCCGATGAACTGCTCGTCGCCGCGACTCTCTCTAGCGCATCCTCCCTGACAGACCCGAGGGCCGCGGATGGGGCGGCACTGGCAGCGCCGCTCGCCCTTGCTCCAGCAAGCGTCTCAAGGCGACGAGTTCGGGGTAGGACGCGCCCCTGCACGCCGCGAGACGCGATGGCAGAGCAGCCAGCCGATCAGGTACGCGATGGCCGACGTCGCTGTCATTCCTGCGCGCTGGCACCAGACGCACTCTCCCTGTAGTTCGCAGCCGTCGCGAAGAACGCGACGGAGGCGCCCCCAGCTGCCAGGGCGTCTCCGCGGAAGGTCGGGGACAGTGCCCCGAGCCGCCCTTGGGGGATCCCCCCTTAGGCGCTCCTCTCTCGGGCCCCTCCTGGCCCCCCCTGCCCTCGCGGCGTCGTAGTTCAGCTTGGATGCGCTCATCACGCTGATGCTCCATATTCGAATGGCCGGTCGCCTCCGAGATCCAGTTCGGCGCGATGTCTGGCGCCACCACCGCGCGCAACCGTGCTGCGCCGATGGCGTCGTGCGCGCGGCTCTCGCACACGCGCACGCTGAAGTGCCGCAAGCCGAGCTCCACCTGGTCAACTGAATTCAGCCTGGCGTAGAGCGTGACGTCGCCCCTGCATTCTCCCAAAGCGAAGTCGACCGCCGTGGCCGCCGCCCACAGCGCCTGGCACTCTTCGCCTCGCTTGGACCCCGTGTGCTGCTGCGTCAGCCAGTTGCGCACCGATGCAGAACCCGAGGCACGGAAGTCGCGGTAGATCTCACCCGCGGCGCGGCGGAAGTCGGGCGGCAGGCAGTGGGCCCAGCTGTCCACCATCGCCACCGCAGCCAGGCCCGCCCCGATGTAGCCGCCCGTGAACTGGCCCGGCTATGCTTCGAACCCGCGCAGCACCGTCTTGACGCTGTCCACGTCCGGGCACCCCGCCGACTCAGCCCCACGAAGCCGCGGGCCGTCAGCGCCGCCTTGATGCCTGGGTCCAGCTCGTCGGCGAGGTCGTGCTGGTGGACCCTCTGCCAGAACTTCTGCCCCCACCACGGGTCGACATGGCTAATCGCCGCGAGGCTTTCCAGTTCGCCACGCACGGCCGCAGAGCAGGCAGACGCGCCTGTGGGCGGCACCGCGGCTGCAGCCGTCGTGGATGCTGACGGCACGGCGGGGGCCGCGCCCGCCGCGCCGCCACCCTGGTTGGCCGAGATGGGGCCGCCCACGGCCTCGCCCAGCCCGGAGGAGTGGAAGGCCGCAATGCCGCCGTCGGGGGCCGAAGGGGCGCCAGTGGCCCAGCCCCGTGCCAGCGCGCCTGCGGGCGAGCCGATCCCGAAGGGCGGGAGCGGCGGCAGGGGCGGCGGCTCCGATTCCGCGGCGGGGGCAGCGTCCAACGCTGCGCCAGGCGCCTCGGTGCCGACGCCGCCCCCCTGGTGGAGCTGCAACGCCGCAGGCTGCGCCCGCAGCCTGGCCACCGCGGCCGACTCCCCGCGCCGCTGGCAGCACCAGCCCAGCAGCCCCGTGCGCCACAGAGAAGCGACGGCGCCGAGGGCGCCCGTCAGCACGGTGGCGGCGAGGCGTTGCACGGCTGCGCGCCCACAATCAGCATTCAGGGTGAGGCGCGGCCGAACACGGTGGCGGCCAGCGAGGCGAGGGCCCACACGACAGCCCACCAGCGTCTTGGGTTTCCAGCCACGGGCGCCACGGACCCGTCCTCGGTTGGAGCTGATGGCAAAGCCATGCTCCGTGCTGCTCTGGGGGGCCAAGCCCCGTGGATGTCACTAGAACGTGCGCATACCTGGGCTAAAGGTTGAGCCCAGAAAAGACTGCAGAGAGAGAACATAATACAGCACTCACATTACGTCACACTCACTGCTCTCGTTCTCCCCCCTCATCATCATCCTCCTCCTCCTCCTCCTCCTCCTCATCATCATCATCATCATCATCATCATCATCATCGTCATCATCATCATCATCATCATCATCAGCAGCAGCATCATCATCATCATCAGCAGCAGCAGCATCATCATCATCATCATCATCATCATCATCCTAATCATCGTCGTCGTCGCCATCATCATCATCATCATCATCATCATCATCAGCAGCAGCAGCAGCAGCAGCAGCATAATCATCATCCCCATCATCATCATAATCGTCATCAGCAGCATTCACGTCATCATCATCATCATCCTCATCCTCCTCATCATCATCCGCGTCATCATCATATCATCAGCAGCATCATCATCGTCGTCGTCAGCTTCATCATCATAATCAGCATCATCATCACCATCATCATCATCATCATCATCATCATCATCATCATCATCATAATCGTCTTCATCATCATTATCATCATCACCACCATCATAGTAATAATCATCATCAGCATCATCAGCATTACCATCTTCGTCATCATTAGCATAATCATCACCATCACCATCACCAGCACCATCATCTTCATCAGCAGCACCAGCATCATGATCAGCATCATCATCACCATCAGCAACATTCACATCATTATCATCATCATCATCATCATCATCATCATCATCATCATCATCATCATTACCATCCTAATCATCGTCATCAGCATCGTCGTCACCATCGTTACCATGATCATCATCATCATCATCATCAGCAGCAGCAGCATCATAATCCTCGTCATCATCATCATCATCCGCATAAGCATCATCATCGTTCTCACAATATACATCAGCATAATCATCATCATCAGCATCATCAACATCATCATCATCATCATCATCATCATCATCATCATCATCATCATCATCATCATCATCATCATCATCATCGTCATGGCCATCGTCATCGTCATCGTCATTGTCATTGTCATCATCTCCATCATCGTAATCATTATCAGCCTCATCCTCATCCTCCTCCTCATCATCATCATCGTCATCATCATCGTTAGCATCATCGTCACCATCATCATCTGTTTTATCGGCATCATCATCGTCATCATCATGACCATCATCATCAACATCATTATCATCATCATCGTCATCGTCATCGTCACCGTCGTCATCATCAGCATCATCATCAGTAGCATCAGCATCGTCATCATCATCATCATCATCACCATCATCAGAATCATAAGTTAATCATCACCATGATCATCATCATGATCATCATCATTATCATCATCATAACAGTCATCACCGTCATCGCCGTCATCGTCATCACCAACATGAGGATGAAGACGGGAAAAAACAAAACACTCCGAACCTGCAGGCATGCATGCAGGTTTTGAAGTACTCGAACCTGCATGCTGCATGCATGCATGTTCGGAGGGGGCGGAAAGAGAACATCTTAGAACAATTGGCGAGTCATCGACCCTAAGGATAGATGTGTGCGTGAGTGGCTACGTTTGAGCGCGATGGAATGCAAGCGACAGCGAGAACTGGTGGAGGGTGGAACAGAGGAGGAGTATTGAGGAGGGGGTCAGGCGGATGCGGGGACGAGTCGTAGACCTTGGCGGTCACCCTCCAGAATGTCTGGGCCCCCCGATCGATCTTCGTCCGCCCCAGGTGGGCCCAGACGGCGCGGCCGGAGCTGGGCTGGCGCAGCCAAGCGTCGCGCGCGGCCGCGTGGGCGCCGGGGAAGCCCCGGGGCTCCACGCAATCCGCACGATGGGCCCGGGGCTCCGCCCGGGTTGCGCGCAGCGGGGCGATGCGCGCGGGCTGGCCCAGCCAGGGGCCGCGGGCGGCTCCCCCTGCGACGGGCTGCCGGGCGCCGGCGCCCCGGCGGCTCCGTCCGCGGGCAGCCAGACCATCCTCGACTGCGACGGCAGCGGGGACTCCGCGCGCGGCGTCGGCGAGGCCGTCGGCGCGCGGGCCAGGGCGCTCGTGCCCGAGGGCGCCGGCTGCCTGTACCTTGCGAGGGGGGGCCCCTGACCTCTCCCAGGCAAACCGAGCAGGCAAGGGCACCCAGAACGCGCCCCTGGGCCACCGGGGCCGACCTAGCCGGCGCGTGCACAGGATGCTCAGAACCGTGGGAGGCGAGAGCGCCTTGGTTCAAGCGTTCACCGCCAACGCCTCTCTCTCTCTCTCATTTTTGTTCCCTCCCTCTCTCTCTCTCCCTCTCTTTCGCTCTCCATCCCCCGCATCGGAGCGACTTTTCCCCCGAGAGCACAACTCCGCGGGCAAGGGCACGGCCACCCCAGCGGCGACGCCGGGCGAGGGCGCCGCTGGGCTGCCCGCCTCCGCGGCGGCGCAGCGGCCGCCGCTGGCCGGGGGCGCTGGCGGGTCGTCGTCGTCATCGTCCAAGGCCTCCAGGGCCGCCAGGGCCTCGCTGAGGCGGTAGAACAAAGGTGTCTGCTTGCGCTCCACACGCCCCGCCCCCTCCGGCATGGCCCCCGGCGATGGCCCCGCCGGCCGCGGCTCGGCGCGAGGGCTGGCGCCCTCCAGCGGCGCCCGAGCCAAACAGGCTGCTCTGGGGAAGGAGACCCTGAGATCATGGCGCCGCAGTGTGTTCACAACGGCTGCTTCGCCGTACATATTTCGGAAATCGGGACCTTCACATATCAATCTGGATCGAGATATGCCGCAGAAAGATGTGGTCTATGGTCGTTATGTCTGCTCGCAAGGATGCATATTTCTCGTGACGTCGGATCTCAGGAGAGGGGGAAGGAGAAAGAGAACAGGAAGGATAGGATTGGACTGGAGCACCATGGCAGCGTCATGGGAAGGAGAGGCCGAGGAGAGTGAGGGTGGGAGGTGTTGCTGCCGCGCGCCAACTCCACGCGCTAAAGGCGCCGAAATCCTCACCCAACAGCATCCGAGCGGGTGCCGGCCCAGGAGGTGAGCCACGCCCCCTGCGACACGAAGAGGCGGACGGGGAGGAGGGAGAGACAGGCGGGGCGGCGGGACCGAACGACTGCGACGGGGGGCGGGCAAGGACCCCCAGGCTCGCGGTCGACCCCAGACTGCGACGTCCTGATCTTCTTAACGCGGGCGCTCTCGACCTCTCCATACCCCCGTCCTCCTACCCCCGTCCTCCGCCCGTATCACTGCAGGTTGCCCCGTGCCCCCTCCCCCTTTGGGAAGGCCTGATGCGGGCCCGGTCACCCTCCGCATGGCCCCCTAGTTCCGAAGCACTGGCCGTCGTGTGAGGGTTCTCGGGCGATGGAGGTGGGGGTAGCTTTTGTCTTTCATCCTTCTGCGAACAACCCCACAGGCAACTGCCGCTTCAAGGATGAGTCGCCGAAGTGCCCTGAATGGCCAGCGACGGATGTCTGGTAAAGGGGGCATGTGGCACGCCGAGAATGGGGACCGCACCGGTGGGGACGATGCCGAACAACGGCTGCTGTCCGAGATGGACGGCGGCTCCTCGTGGGCAGACGGCGTCTGTCGCCGCTATGACACAGGCCGCATTCGTCTCGAGACTGGTCAAGAGCCCCGTCCAAAATGAGCAGGAGCTGCTGTCATACATTCTCCCCGATCATGTCGTCCCTGTTTCGAACCCTCTGACCATGGGGTTCACTGTCGGCTTCTGGGGCGGAGCAGGCAGAGAAGGAGTAGATGAAGGAAGAGGTGCAGGACTGGGTGTAGGAGAATGAGGAAGCCGTACCCAGTCTCCAGACGAACCGAGGAATATGAGCCAGAGAACAAGGAGGAGGAATGGAGGGGCGTTGATGTAATATCTCATGTGCGCGGACACTTGTATGTTACACGTGGTCACACGATGCGCGCAGGTGAAAAACGAGGCTGAAAACTTCCCATCTACCTTGCCAAAGAGGAGGGGGAGGAAGAGCGGGAGGATGGGAACAGAGGGGGAAGAAAAGAGGGCGAGCGATGGGGGCCGAATTCCCTTTTCACATGGGGGTGGCCGAACTTACCACAAGAACGACTCACGCCGTCCGAAGAACAGCTGTCGTAAGAGCAACCTACCGTATCATACAAACAACCGTCTCGCATCGCGAGAACGATTCACACGTGTGATACGAACTGCCCACGGAATCTTAGGAACAGACAAGTGCTATGGAAGGCAAGCATGATAAAACAACAACTACTCCGACGGTAGGACCCACATGATAATATGTTTAGGTTCCCCTTCGCCCTTTCCTCTTTTCCCTGGCGGATATTCTCCTCTCGCCCTCAGCTTTGCCCTCCCCCCCTCCCTCTGTTCGTCCTCCTCCTACTCCTCCTCCACCCCCACCTCCTCATCTCCTCATCATCGCCCCCCCCATACTCCTTCCCTCCTCCTCATCCTCCGTCTGCGCCTTCTCCACGTGCGCCGCCCCGCCACCCTGGTCGGCGCAAGCAAATCGATGTTCTTCGGCGCCCTCGCCGCCTGGGCAATCACGCGCGCGTTTGCCGACGGCAAGATCGCAACGCCGCCGGGGCAACCCCTCGGGCCAAGCCGTCGGGGCAACCCCACGAGCCGCCGGGGCGCGAGAGCAAGCCGTTGGGACAATCCCGCAGGCACCGAGCTAATCGCGGCCGCGCTCAGGCGGGAGGCAGCGCGAAGCCCAGCTCTGCCGCGAGCTGCTCCGCCTCAGCCCTGGAGCCCACTGCTCTCTTGTCGAATTCCTCGAGCGCCTTCCGCAGGGACGCCGGCGGCCCGCGCCCCAGGAAGTCTCGCGCGGGCGGCCGCAGGATCAGCATGTTCCGCATGCACGCGGCGCGGGAGAACATGACGTAGAGGTGCAGCCAACGCTGCTCGTCCGACATGCCCGCGCGACCAGCGCCCTCATCCCTGGCGCAGTCGATGGCGACGCCCTCGCGCAGCGTCTGACCCTGCGACAGCGCGGAGGTCAGGTAGGACGCGCGCGTCAGGGTGAACCCCGAGCGGCGCACAACGTGCGGCCCTGGGTTCTGCCACGTGAACTCCTGCTCGCTGGGCCTGAACATGAGCAAGCTCCTTGCCCGCGCCTCGACCGCGCCGTCGTCGTCAGCGCCCTCGGCGCTCTGCAGCAGCACCTCGGCGACCTCCTTGTAGATCCGGGACTCCGTGAAGCCGTGGACCTGCATCCAGATTCCCTGCGGTAGGTAGCGGGGGCGAAAGAGCTGGCCCGGCGCGCACTCCTCGTAGTCTCGCTCGTCGTTTGCGTGAAACTCGAAGGACACGCCGGTGGCCCGCCGCTCACGCACGAGCCCCAACTTCTTCTTCAGCTCCTCCTGCACGGCCGTGAACCGAACCTCCATGCCGACGCATGCTGGTAAGACGCCGTGGATGTCCCCCGTCTTGTGCATGTTCGGGACGTTCAGGAGGCGGCGGCCTGCGTCTGGGTCGCCTTGAATCGCGCCGCACTCGTCTACGGCCTGCAGGAAAAAAGAGGGGCACGCCCAGACGCCGCGCGCCACGACGAGCACGCGCGTTGATCCACCTCGCGAGCGTCTCCCAGTAGATGCCCATACCGAAGCCGAGCCGAAAGTTCTCGAGTTCCCTCTCCTCCTCCTGCTCCTCCTCCTCCTCCTCCTCCTCCTCCTGCTCCTCCTCCTCCTCGTCGTCCTCCTCCCTCCCCCCCGATTGTCCTCCATCGTCCCCCGTCGTTCCTCCAACGTCCTCCCTCTTCCTTCTCCCTCCTCCTCCTCGTCCGTCCTCCGTCCATCGACCTACGTCCGCCGACCTCCGTCCTCCGCCCTCATCCTCCTCCTCCTCGTCCTCGCCCACGCCCTCCTCTCCCTCTTCCCCCTCCTCCTCCTCATCCTGCTCCTCCCCCTTGTCATTCGACACCTCGCCCTCGCCGTCCTCGCCGTTCTACTCTTCCTCATCGTATATATCCTCCTCCTCCTCCTCCTCCTCCTCCTCCTCCTCCTCCTCCTCCTCCTCCTTGTTCTCCTCCTCGTTATCCTTCTCCTCCTCCTCCTAAAAAATTGCGTTGGTGGCTCCTTTACCCACGAACACGCAAAGCGTTTTTGTTGTGAGGGGCCGCCGATCGGTTACAACCGGCGACCCGGGCGCAAGGGTTCCCCCCTGCGCTCGATTTGGCTGACGATGGGCTACCACCGCCAGCCCGGAGACAAGGGGTCACCCCTGCCCCCGATTCGGCCAAGGATGGGTTACCACCCCAGCCCGGACGCAAAGAGCTACCCCTGCGCCCGACTCGGCCGCCGATGGGCCACCACCGGCGGCCTGGCCCGGACACAAGGGGTCACGCCTGCCCCCGATTCGGCCGAGGATGGGTTACCACCCCCAGCCCGGACGCAAAGAGCTACCCCTGCGCCCGATTCGGCGGCCGATGGGCCACCACCGGCGGCCCAGACACAAGGGGTCACGCCTGCCCCCGATTCGGCCGAGGATGGGTTACCACCCCCAGCCCGGACGCAAAGAGCTACCCCTGCGCCCGATTCGGCCGCCGATGGGCCACCACCGACGGCCCGGACACAAGGGGTCACCCCTGCCCCCGATTCGGCCGAGGATGGGTTACCACCCCCAGCCCGGCCGCAAGGGGCTACCCCTGCGCCCGATTCGGCCGCCGATGGGTTACCACCGGCGGCCCGGACACAAGGGGTTACCCCTGCCCCCGATTCGGCCGAAGATGGGTTACCACCCCCAGCCTGGACACAAGGGGCTACCCCTGCGCCCGGCCGCTGCCTCGTCGTCGTCGTCGTCGTCGTCGTCGTCGTCGTCGTCGTCGTCGTCGTCGTCGTCGTCGTCGTCGTCGTCGTCGTCGTCGTCGTCGTCGTCGTCGTCGTCGTCGTCAGCTCCTCAATCACTCTTTCGGGCACGCAGGCCCATGACAACAGCAAATTTGTTGACGACCAGCTCAGATATACCCGCAGTTCGCTCACAGACAACGCCCCCGCCGAACACTTCCCCCGCATTCAAGCCGCAGGAGCTGAGGAGCCCAAAAAGCTCGCTCGGATGACCCGCCTCGGATTCGAACATGAAATGCGGGTCTCATAGGGAGGGGGGCCCCGCCTGAGACTTCCTCGCGATTCACTCACAAACGAGGCTCCCGACTCAGACTTCCTCCGAATTCAAGCCAGAGGAGCCCAAAAGTGACGATAGCTACAGGGTGCCGATGACCCGCCTCGGATTCGAACATGAAGTGCGGGTCCCATAAGGAGAAGCTCCCGTCTGAGATTTCCTCGCCAGTCACTCACAGACGAGGCTCCCGCTTGATAATTCCTCCAAATTCAAGCCTGAAGACCCCCAGAAGTGACGACAGCCGGAACCCTGATTCCTCATCTGGAACAGCGCCTGGTGCACCGGGTCAATGAGGCGCGGCAGGACGATGCGTTCCGACTTCGCCGTTGCTGGGGCGACTCCGCCTTGGCGAGAGTCAACGACGATGCGTTTCTTGACGCGGCCGTGGACGACCTTGGTGATGCACGCAATCGTACTCAGGATCACGGCTTGGCCGAGGTCGCCCTTGAGCTGCCGCATGGAGTCGTACGCCTGCAACTGCCCAACCTGCACCATGGCGTCTAACTCGGAAGCGACGTCGTCGTCGTCCAACCAGGCAACGACTTGTCGTCGGGGTCC